TGTACTAACTGTTTGTACAGAATATCCTGTCTGCTTCTTGTACTATGGATAACCACTAAGAAGATAACAATGTACAGTGTATTGACTATCAAAACTGTCCTATTAATCAGCTGTGAAACTGTCTCATTCATATTTATTTCTCAATAAAAAAATAAAAAATAAAAGTATTTACAGAAGCAGTAACAAGTTAAAATTAAAGAAGCAACTGGAAGTATTTATAATCTAGTAATCTGTAATTCATAAATCTCTTAGTAAATTATTCAAGAACACTAAGAAAAATGACAAATTGGTATAACAGTTTCTTGTGGTATAAATTACTGTATCTCTTTTTAAGAAAATCATAGCTTTTTACAAATCACATATAGCATAATTAGAGATGTGAATAGTAAAATATTTATCATAGAAACATACATATAAGCTGAAAGTCAAGGATCAGAAAAACAAGCAACTCTATAAAATAAGTTACCAGCTCTGGTCATGCCAGGATCCTGGTCATTCCCATGCTAAAACTCTCCAGTTTGGCTAACCTGGAAGGGAGGTTTCTCTACTTCCCTTTGCTTATAGAAAAGGAACAAAATAGAGAAAAAAAATGTGGTATTATAGAGTCAAATTATCATTGTGTAAATTATCTACAATTAAAATTGGAGTAAAGCTGAGGAAATCACTTTTCTTTCCGTAAAAATATTAATAGCAAGCCAGCTCAAAGGTTACCTATAAAGCTGTCTCTGACTGCTCTGACCTTTGATGTCACATGAGAACTTTCTTACCTTGTTGCTTATATATTACATTGTATTATTCAACTGATCTGTACATGCTTATCTTTTCATCTAGGTGGCCTGTATATCATTAGTCTGATGTAACTGAGTTTACATTCAGTGAATGGGTTTGCAGAGAACTGCGTTCATATAGATCACACTCCTTCACCAATAAGGGTGTTGTTGCTGGAGGGACTAGAGGATATCTTAGAGTAGGTACATGGCCAGCCCCAAGCTCCAGCAAAATGCTCAGCAAATATGCTACAGCTGTTTAAAAACATGGGTCGTCACTTGTATCTACACAGACTATTACAAAATCTAATAGAACATTACTACATTACCATACTACCCAAAACAAATTACACTTGTATGATCAAATGTCAACTAAAGTTTAGTTTAAATTGCTCTATTCAATTCGTACCTCAAAGAAAAGGATCACCTTAGGACCCTCATCAATATCTTGAAGCAAATAGAGAAATTTTTCACTAAATATAATTTGTTCTTCCCACTCTGGAAGTCTTGATGTTAACTGTTTGAAATCATATGGCTGTGTCATGATAGGAAGAATATAATCCACCTTCTCATTTTCACAGTAGGAAGACACAGAATGCTCACTGTTCAAAGAAAGAGTTCCATTAACACAATTCATTACAATTTTAGAAAATGAAAATATAGAGTATAAAAAAGGTAAAAGGAATAATAGCCAAAATGCTATAATAGAAAACATTTATTTTCATTGTCCATCTAGAAAGTTATAAATTTTATAAAACTCAAAAGCAGTAGTGTATTATTTTCATTTTGCATTTATTATACGCTATCAGTTGGTTTCACATAATTGCTTCAATACAGAAATATAGAGGCATGAATATCTGAAACAAAGTAATACCTTCTGAATTTTAAATGAGCTTGTGATAAAATTAATAATTTCATTTACATAAAAAGGAGCAAATTCTTATAAGCTGTCATATTTTCTTTTCTTTTATTTATTTATTTATTTATTTTTAAATCAAAGCTTTTTTTAATTATTATTTTTTTTAGTGTGTGTGTGTGTGTGTGTGTGTGTGTGTGGCCAGCTCAGCC